TCTTGGTTAAATAAAAGAGCTGTGGTTGTACATTCACTCTCCACCTCAAGGACCCCTAACATGCCACCAGTCAGAGGACACACAGGGCCCCCCTCCAAGGAGATGTTGACAAACGACCTCAACGCTCTTACATGAATTAGCGAAAGAAACTGGATTTTTTTCCCCTCGACAAAAATCATACCTCAAGTATGTGAGTCGTGTTCGCCAAAACGTGCAGATTCCAGCCAAATGATCCTGTTGAGGGAAAATGAGCGGAGCAATAATGATTTTGTGTACATCTGAAACGTTCCTCCTTTCCTTCCTTACGGACTTCGCAACAAACAGGTCGCCCATTGGTGGTTCAAAACTATTATTGTTTTTAAAAATGTCTTAAGTTTTCATATGTAATGAACAATCGGACATCTTAAATTAATACGTATATTTATAATACACAATATATAAATATACGTGAAAAGCCACATAAACACAAAAAGGCGGAAGTGTCGCTTAAGAATGTTAACGTTTCCGGTACTGTGGAATCTTGGGTAACGTAGTCAAAATTCAAATTTTGAAATGTACTTGAGCTCTTACTTTATTTAACAATACGTTATAAATGTATTGTGGTATTACATAAAGCACATTGTGGTATTTAAAAGTATAAAAATGCTCCGTTTTCTCACAAGAGATAGTTCTGCATGTTATGTTCATCAGGGTGACGTTTTCCCGTTCAGAGAATGGATGGATGCATGTCCACATCCGCGTTCGGTAATTCACTTTACGCCCTTGCACTACTCTGAAGGCCGAATTCACTAAAAGAGTGCGTGGCTTTTGCGTGGCGCTCAGCAGTAAAAATGGAGCAAATCCACGAATCGTTTAAACCACAAAGCACGCGCAGAATAGTGAGATGCGTCACGAGCTGAGATACGTCTCGGTGCGCCAATGGTATTTGCGCGTATTTAAATGAAGCAACATGCATATGTTTGACATTGCCCACCTATATGCGAATATGCCTCATTGATAAACGACGTCTAATTCATTAACGCCAGCGCGAATAGCCACACGCAGTTTGAGTGACGCAAATGGCGCCTATAAAAAACTGTTTGTAAAATTGGCCCACCTCTGTGTCTCAGATTAGCGCAAATGACCTGAGTCGCCTTTGAAACTTCATGCCTCAGACCAGCAAGAGGTTGTGCCAAGTATACTTAGGACAGATTTAAGAGAACATGTTACAGGACATGCAGGTTCTCACGTGCACGTTTCACTGCATGCAAACAAATACGCATCTAAATGTTGGTAATATGGATATATTTTTATCATTGAGAATTACATTCTGTTACAATGACAATAAGACAAAAGTCAACCAAGGAAAATATTGCCTCAAATCAGAAAATATTGCATTTTTGATTTTCTCATCTTGACTTCATCTACAACTGTCATATTCGATGTACTTCTGATGATACGCGACAGTGCAGTGCAAAATATTAGCTTTTGCTTTTAAAAGAAAGAAATGAAAAGCAGAAGAAAATACTGAAAACTCTTTGCATTTCTCACCTGAGACAATTAGAAATTGTGTTAAACCTCAGAATGCAATTGCAAGGTTCTTTTTTTTTTCCAATTGTACAGTTGTTTCAGACTCTAATTTAAAAAAAAAAACATTTCAGAGTCAGATCTTCCTTTGAGGGATCACACAAATTGGCCTCCTGGCTAGAGCGCTCCCTTTGCCAACACAATTAAAGTGTAAGACGCTGTAAGTGCATTAGTTTAATCTCTCCAATCTTGGCTTGCGACGATACAAGCGTGCCACTGAGCACACAAGTACGCATGGAGGAGCAGCCATGACGATGGCGCTGCATACAATTCCCTGACTGGATTTGGTGTAAAATGAAGACATTCTTGAAGAGCTCTTGATTTGGAGGATTTGAGGAGGACAATGTTAAAGTTCATCGCGCAGGTTTGGATTTTATGGTGGCTCTTTGAAGGTAGGCAGGCATGACTCTACCGTACGTGTTTATATGGACCAACTCAGACGATTTTTTGGGGGTTTGACTTACAAGCGCAAACTTGAGATACGAGTGCTTGTGTGGTTGTCGCAAACGTGACTCAACTCACTTCACAATAGGCAGTATCTGAATGATACAACCTTGTCTTTCTAGGTATTTTCTCTGATGGCGACAACAGCGGATGTCAACAGCAGCCGTGCCGAAATGGTGGCGTATGCGAGAGTCACCTCGGCGGTTTCAGATGCCTTTGCTCCCAGCAGGCCCTCCACGGCCGTTTATACGGGGGGCAGACCTGCACGGTTCCACTTTTGGGCTGCGATGACAACCAATGCGAAAACGGTGGAATATGCTCGCCCTTGCTTGTACACGGGAAACACACTTTCTCATGCATCTGCCTCGCCGGCTTCTCGGGCTCCAAATGCCAGACCTCCACTGTTTTTTCATTTGAGAGCCAAGGTTACATGTACATCGAGACTCAACCTGTTGATCCGGAAGCCCCTCTGAATGTTACACTCAGCTTCCGGACAGAAAAACTTGTCGGGACTCTCTTGCAACGCAGAGTGGCTGGCCTCCTTCTTAGCATTGAGCTAATGGATGGACATCTGTGCCTCTGCAGTCTCAAAAACCAAGGGTCCACCACATTGGTTCAGCAGCTACCGGAATTTATTTCCGACAACAAATGGCACACGCTGGAAGCGTCACTCGGCGGAGTGGTCAGCCTGATCCGGCTCCTCTGTACCGAAGGAAACTGTGCCAGGGAAAGCAAGACCGAGGTGCAAGTTCTCGAAGCAGCCTCGGGTCTCCCTCAACCCGGGACAGTACGTCACAGTCTCTTCATAGGAGCAGGTCCAGGCGACAAAACGGAACCCCCGCGTGTTTTTCTGGGTTGCTTAAGAGACGTGCTCGTCGACTCCCATTTGGTGGTGCCGGTTATGTCGGCGGAGGGTTCCGACACTCAGGTTAACGTGACAATGGGATGCAACGATAACGACAAATGCGATGACGGACCGTGCCAGAACAGAGGCCGCTGTGTGAGCCAAGGCTGGAGGAGTTACATGTGCGAGTGCCACAGACCATATGAGGGCGGCAACTGTGCAGAGGGTAAGGCGTATACGAAAGTATACGGGCTTTTTCAGATTCTGGTTTTGCTTTGGAACTGTCAAATTCCTACCCGAGCGGGATGACTGGGAAAGACTTGGAGAAAAGTGCTTTACAGAAGTTCTTTAGCATAGCTTAGTCCTTGATCCACATTTGCGAAAAGATGTTCGGCATCGTCCCTCACAACAGGGGTGCCCATGTCCAGTCCTCGAGCGAGCCGATCCGAGCCTGTCTTGCACGTTTCCCTCCTCCAACACATCCGATTCAAATGATCAGCTCGTCGGCAAGCTTCGCAGAAGTCTGACCAGGAACTTGATCATTTAAATCCACAATATTCAAAACAGTAGGCCACCAACAGTTTACCGACCCCACACAAGGACGCTTGAGAGTACAGAGAAAGGGACGACATATATAACGGATTGAATCGGATTGATCTATGATTAAGAAATGACGGTAGTCAAAGGGGTCATGCTTTGTCAAGTCCGACAGTGTGACTGCGGGGTGGGCAGAAAGCCACACCCACAGGACAGTAAGGTTAGTCAGCAGACTTGAAAGGCGCTTAAAGGTAGAAATAGCATCGACATGCAACGAGGAGGTATTCAGGCATCACCCGTGGGCTCAGGATTTGCCAAAACGTGGCTCTGAGTAGCTTATCCGGAATAAGTTAAAGAGTCTTACCGAATCACGCTAAGGCGAGATGACATCTGAGATCGACAGAATCTCAAAAAAGTAAGTCCACCGCTCTCACTCTTGACATCATTTCATGGAACAGCAGCAGCATAGGAAATCTTTATTCAGAGCCGCGGGGGTTTCAGATGCTAAAAAAAGTTATTTTCCCCGCGGCGCCACATTGAACTTCCAATGACGAGTATGAGAGAATGCGAGAGCGAAAAGACAAAACTTAACACGGCTGCAGTTCACATTGAGACCTTGTAACCCCTCCTGGGTCACATGACACCCAGGAGTGGGAAATGGCAAATTGGGTCTGGGTTGGACAGTTTCACATCGGGGTGTACTCACTTTTGTTGCATGTGTGTTGAGTGAAATACTGAGCATGTAAACAATGTTTGGTCCATAATACAAAAATAATTTGTATGTTTCCCTTCGCAGAGTACATCACCGCAAGGTTCGGGAGCAAAGACTTGGAAAGTTATGCCGTCTTCTCAATAGACGATGACCCCGGAGAGACTTTGACCGTGTCCTTGTTCGTTCGAACCAGGCAGCCGAGGGGCCTCCTCCTGATCCTGGCCAACAGCACCAGTCAGTACCTTCGCCTTTGGCTGGATCAGGGCAGAGTCAAAATTCAAGTCAACAACTTTGAGACCTTGCTCGGCCAAAGCGTGATCAGTGACGGCCATTTTCATCTGGTGACTGTGAAGCTCGACGGTCCAGAGGTAACCTTGACCCAGTCGGCCCAGGTTCAAAGCTCTCGACCCATAAGACACATCTGGGCCCATCACGGGGATCGGGTCTTTGTGGGCGGACTGGCGGACCCGAGGGCCTCGGCTACATTCGGAGGCTACTTTAAAGGATGTGTTCAGGATCTACGGGTGAACAATAAGCGACTTCAGTTCTATCCCATACCATCTTTTGTGGAATCTTACAAACTGGAGCAGCTGTTAACTGTTTCACCCGGATGCAGCAGTGACAACGCCTGTGCGGTAAGTTACTGGCAATACACTCCATTCGATAGACAGGGCCGGACCGTGAATTCGGTACAGAGTAGTATAAAAATACTAAAGCTCAGCTAAATTCTTGTTCAAACACTCCGTGTCATGACAAACATTCATCATTTGCAGCGGTGGATTGATTTGAGCTTTTTTTCTCTCCTGAAGGTTAACCCCTGTCTCAATGGCGGCGTGTGCTACTCCGTGTGGGATGACTTCACCTGTAACTGCCCCCCCAACACGGCGGGGCAGCGCTGTGAGGAGGTGAAATGGTGTGAGCTGTCTCCCTGTCCCGCCTCCACTGTATGCCAGCAGACCTCGCGGGGCTTCGAGTGTGAGTGACACAAGAAACCGTTTCACACTTTGCTTGCCTTAAAATACGTTAGCATAAGGTCATTAAGACACTGTTTGAGAAAGAAATAGGACTTCGACCTAGGCCAAATATCGGATAGGCATTTTGGGTTGTGAAGTCTGTAGGGAAGTGTCTGTGGTCTCCTCGGTCCACTGACTGGTGCAAAGACCACCAATTAATTAGAGGGTGGCTGATTATAAAGTTGAAGCAGGGATCCGACATAAAATTCTTCAAGGCATGCTAATCCCTGGTCAGATTAAGTCTACCGCCACATGCCGGTGGAGGTTTGCAATGACGAGTACTGCAGAAGATGTCACATGTTCACCTGGGGAAAAAAAAGAGAGGTGGGGGGAGGAACATATACTCAGTGAGAAGAGATTTGTGACTCAAATAAAATCATCCTAACTTTGTTACTTTTATTTGAGTGCACAGGTCATTTTAAACATAATTAATTGATTCTCAATACTAATGGAAAACCCGCCATTCAACAACAAACAAAAAAATTCGAGTCACCCGACCTCTGAAACATGCGAAAGAGCCTCATAGAAAGGTCTCGTAAACCAGGCCCGTGTTTGGACTTCCTGACTCGAGCGGTTTTGCAGTGGTGAGTAGGTGTGTCAATGTACGCTTGGACCTACACAACAACTGAGTGTGCACCTTCGGTCGCACTACTGAAACTGTAAGGGGTGTGGGAATGGTGTGGTGTCCCGTTTGTTGCCTAAACTGGTGTCGAAATGGAGTAATGAGTATAGGAATGTAATGTGTGTGGTGCGCGCCAGCGTCACCGTGTGCACCCTGAGCATCAGAGTAATGCACAATTGTTCACACACACAGATGTGAAGATGGTAAGGTGATGGTGGCCAAAAACAGCGCTATATATACACACAATGTATTTACTAATTGAGCCTCACCAGAAAACGGCCAGTGTCAATATTTGAAGTGTCACTGTTCAAAAAAAATGACTTCATGTTCCACTTTTTCCTTCCTTCTACAGGTCTTTCTAACGTAACAGTTCGTCCAGAAAGTGCGATTTTGCACTACCGGAACAATAGGAACAACAACCGCACAGTCGGTGTCACCAGCGTGTCTCTCGGTTTCCGCACAAGACAGACCGTTGCCACCATATTGCATGCACAAAGGGGCTCCAAATACATCACCGTCTCCCTTCGGGACTCCCGCGTGGTTGTCGAGCACTCGGCTGGAGTGGAACACGACAATTCCTCCGTACAGAGTGAGCGTCCAGTCAGTGACGGAGAGTGGCACTCTGTGAGCCTCGGCGTGCACGATCGAGCCTCTAAGTGGATCATAAATGTGGATGGAAATACAGAAGAAATCTTTATAGGTGTTGCAGACTTGGATTTTCTTTTGGAGGGAACAGACATTTTCATTGGTGGGCTGAGCTTGGACTCCCCGGTGAGTTTCTCCGGATGTTTGGCTCCTGTGGAAATCGGAGGCCTTCTTCTTCCTTTTCACTTGGACACAGACTTGAAGCTTCTCAGGCCTCAGGAAGAGCAGTTTTCGCAGTTGAACGTCAACGCCCATCCGCACTACGGCTGCTGGGGGGCGAGCGTGTGTGCGTCCAACCCTTGTCAGAATCAGGGTTTGTGTGAGGATCTCTTTGACCTGCATCATTGCAATTGTCCGTCCACTTGGAGCGGGTCGTTGTGCCAAGAACCGAGCGACCCCTGCGTGGCCAAGCCGTGCGTGTATGGAAACTGTCGCAACACTCCTGGGGGGTACCGGTGTGAGTGTGAGCAAGGATTCACCGGGGCGCAGTGTGAGATGGAGGTGGATTTGTGTGTGAATAGCAATTGCAGCAATGGTGCGACATGCCTCAAAGGAGTTCAGAACTACTCATGCCTCTGCCCTCAGAACCTGACGGGCCAATATTGCAAGTGAGTTCTTATTCATCATCAATAAGACCAAAATTTCAACATGTATGGGAAGCCATTTGAGGATGTTTTTAAATATCCAGCTTAACCCTGACATACTACTCAGGTCAAATTTGATCAATTTTTACATTTGACAGTCATAAAAATAAATACCCAAAAGTGATTCTTTCACCTTAACTTCTATTGATTTTTCCTCAATTCATTGATGACGTTTGTAACTCAGCAGACTCTTTTCTTAGAGGGGAAGTCAACCCCAAAATGTTTGCAATATGTTCTATGCGGCCCCATGAGTCGAAAGACGGCATTCTGATATTGAATTTGGCACCCATGCCGCTGAAAACATCTTTTACTGACGAAAAACATGTCTCTTACAGTGTGAAAATTCCAGAGATCCCCTGGTACATCGAAACAAACCCGTAAGTGCCTCAACATTAATGACTTCATTTTTTTTTTTTTTTTAGGTACAGTTCAGTTGTATTTAACTTTACAAGTACGTACAACACATTTGCATTTAATCTTTCAGAACGGTCTGTCCTAACCGCCGTACCATGGGAAATGGCCATTTTCACTTTGTAATTTACCACAAATAATCTATCTTCGTTCATGTATCTATGCTAGTGACATAAAATGACAAGCACAACAATTAAATGCTCTTGCACGACCGCCGCCTCAGTATGTATAAACTATAGACAGTATATTGTTTGTGTGACATTTTTGTTTTGCCGTGTTCTGGAAGATTTTTTTGAGTGCAAAGTAATCGCCTTGGCTCAATAAAGGTTGGGGGACACGAGAAGTAACTACTCCACAAGAGATATGAAATGTTCAAATGTTGTTTGTATTTTATTTTTCTCTCTCTCTCTTGGGGTCTGTCAAGTCTTCCTCTGCTGCCTGTGTCAAAGTGTAGCGGTACGAGATGGAACTTCAGCTGCTTTAATGGAGGGAATTGCTCAGTCGTGGACGACAATTGTCTCTGTCTCCCTGGATTCTCAGGACAATGGTAAGGCGGTGGCAGAATTTCAGTTTTTGTTCCTCGCCTACGTTGGACTAATTGAATCCACACGGGGGCGCCAGAAATACAAAGAGCTGCTCCAAGGCTGATCAATAAAAGTTGGGAAACGACGTATTTTCCGTGATACTTTTGTCCTTCTATTCTTTCTTTCGGCCGCAGGTGCGAAAAGGACGTGGACGAGTGTGCCTCCGACCCGTGCATGAACGGAGGATTCTGCCTCAACTACGTCAACAGATTTGAGTGCGTGTGCGATTTGAATTACTCGGGTATCCACTGCCAAATAGACGTCAGTGACTTTTATATCTACGTCTTCCTGGGCCTGTGGCAGAACCTGTTCCAGCTAGCGTCCTACCTCATCATACGCTTGGATGACGAGCCCGAAATCGAGTGGGGGTTCCAGGTTAACGATTAGCTCACATTGGTACACAAACGTAGTTAAAAGGAATGAAATGCAAACACAAAAGAGCGGGGGAGGGGGACAAGAACCTTGGGGCTGGGTGAAAAGGCCTTAAAATAAAATCTCGGAATATTTTTTTCACACAAAAATACAACTTCTGATTTCACTAGATGTTTTTTAGCACTTCATATCGCCGCTGTTCTTGGGAGGCTCGGGTTCATCGTTTGTAAATGGCAGAATATCGATTTGAAAAGATTGATCTACGAATGACAATTATATTCTGTGTCCTACATTTCATTTTCATGATTTTAATCACAAGGAAAAGCACAGGGGGGAGGGGTGGGGGGTCTTGTGCCTTAGCTCCTCATTTTGAATGCCGAGCACCATTTTCTGATCAAAGCACATTTCGACTGTTCAGCGACATTAAAGTTAACAGCCAGAAGAGAATTTAGAGCAAGAATATTTCTAAAACCGTCCCATTGTTGTGAACTCAATAAAGACCTTGGTGGATCGCATTCCTTGCTCAGTGTCCCTGATCGGAAAGCAAAATAAATGTTGTGAAGCTCCATGTAAATGCATTTTAATTTTGTAGTAACATTCGGTCTAACATTTTACAAACAACAAAAAAAATAAATACTATAGAGTTCATAGTCCACTTCTCCATACAAGAAAATACTCTATTCTGCCGTCTGCTGTTGCAGATACACCGTTGTATGCCGTAAGAAGCACAGTTTAGTTTATTCTTTGTAAAAAGATGCACACTTGATAAAAAAAACAAAAACGGGAAAAACAGGAAATAACCCCAAAATATAGGAACTTTAACAATAGGCAGTTGTGAGAGTACAGAAAGGCTCACTTGGTCAAGTCAAACAGGAAAAGCACCTTTGTCAACATCTGATGCTATTTTAATATCAAAGCCATCAATCAGTGAGGAGTAATCGGGCCCAAATTTAACATGAGTAAATTCAGATGAGATCGGTATGATTTCAGTGTACATGATTTGGTCAAGTTTTCATTTGTTGGTGTAATGTGAGATTTTTATTCTAAATATGTGCCTATTGCTAAATAAGGTTTAGAGAGCAATCACGTTAGCATGAGGGCTCCGCCTGGAAATTGCGACCAATGACGAGATCCACTTCGGGGTTCACTGCTGTACGGATAGCCGCAACTGCGACGATCACTTCGAATGAGAAATCTGCAGACTCAAAAAAAGAGTTCCGCGATTTGGGTATTCCGAGTGCAATTTTAGCCTGAACTTAAAATGCACCATCAGCTTCTCGGGTGAAGTCAGGTGGAAGTTTTTGAACGCACGTGACTCTTCCTGATGATAGCCTGGGCCAAAGTCAAAGCTCATTGGCCACTTCTCGCTGTCTGTGGCCTCGCCATTGCAAAGTTTTTCCACCTGCAACTTCAGTTGAAGGCCGGTTTGAGAAGCTTTTTGACCGTCATGCCGCTCCACGTCAAGTTTCTCGGAAACAGGATATGTCCTTGACAAAACGGCACGCGGCGGAAGACGTTCTCGCAACGCCATGAAAATTTGAAGCCACTCTCAGAAACATGTGCACTGTTTGAACATAAAAAAAAAAAAAAAGAACGTTCTTGCAACGGCATGAAAATTTGAAGCCACTCTCAGAAACACGTGCACTGTTTGAACATAAAAAAAATTTTTTTGAGAAAGTCAAATCAAGGTGGATTTCTTTTTTATCCCGATATTCAGAAATTTCACCTGGAAATCCCAAACGTTTTTTTGGGAGGAGGGACAGAATGTCATTGTTGAGCCTCTTCACGGAGCTTACATTCACAGAGCTCTTTATAGATTCGCTTGCGTATCTTTGGTATGTTTCTCTGTGAAAAGCAGAGCGGCTGTGCCAAGGCAAGGCATCTGGAATACTGAGGACGACAATAACAAAAAAAACGGGAGGGGATTTTTGATTTGAATATCTGGGCCGACATGGTCAAGAGTACCGCGCTAGGGAAAGTACCTCCAAGACGAAAACGCCGCAGTCGTTCTCGTTGGTTTGCTGTGGGACGTTCTGAAAAAGAAATCGCATACTTAGGCGGCGGGTAGAATTCTCGGCCCCGTTTTCGCACCGGCTATTAGACGACGGTATACCTCATCTAATGACACGGTCCAACCATTGACGAAAGACGCGCGTTGCTTCTCTCTCGCTTCCGCCGTCAAGTACTTGAGGATGTTCTGCGGGACGCAAATATACGTGGAGTCCACCCTATGGTGCCAGTGCGGGGAGCGGCAACACGCAAAAGTGGCATTTACCTGTGCAACTTTGTGCAACGCATTCCGTTGAGAGTCAAAGAGACAGATTTTCTTTCTGACGACATCTGTGGTTACGAGACACCAGTGAACCTCCAGATGGACGGGTACCAACAGGAGACTCTTGGAGAACAAATCAACCTGCAGATTTGGCAGAAAGACGCCCAGGGACAATCGATACTCAACAGACGTTCCAAATACCCTTTTTTGTAAGTCAGTCTCATCTGGGTTTTTTTTTTATTCATATTTATTTTACAGTCAACCCCCTATAAAATTTATAGGAGTCTGGTAAGTCAGTAAAACGCCCCTCTTAAAATAGACAGTTTTTTAAATCTATGTAATTGCCTATATTTTTTGTTCAAACCATAAATATCCAACAAACTATGATGCTGAAACACTTGAAAATGATTTCAAATTCATCTTACAACATTACAATATATGGATGGAGAGGAAGGTTGATTTTGTCAAAACGCATAAGATGCACGCGCGTCAAGACTCCGTTAGTTCCACCAACAACCCAGGCTAAACTTCGCTCCTCCCAGACAGGCAAAAATGTAAGCCTTTAGTCGACATGTATCAGTGTACCTCCCAGACATGATTATTTACAACTTTCCTGTTTATACAAGGCACTGGTGCCATCTTCGGAAATTTCAGTAAAGGGTACAAAGCTACGGCATAAACAGTCAGTCAAAGAAATTCGACTTTGGCTGGCAACACAAAACGCCTGAGTGATGACTTGTGACGCGGGCAAAACGTACAAAAGATACCACTGGATCTACAAATCACAGAGTCAAAGAATCTAAATGGGGAATAGGAAAGCAGTAATTGGTACCTTTACGGGTTGCGAAGAGGTGTCGTCGCACTTCTCATGCATTTTTTTTTTTTTAAAAAGTCCACACATCAGTCAGCGATTTATTTTGAAAGGGAATATTGTGGGATGAGTTTGGAAGCATATTCAAGTGTTAACGGCTCACTGGAGTCTCTTTCGAATTAAAATCACACCGAATAGGAAAACATGAATCCCCAACAGGGGGCATTCGCTATGCTCCACTGAAAGATGGGCTGCATGAAGAACAAGTACCTGCTTTGTCCATCTCTTAACACCGTTATAACCCTTGGTCATGAGCTGTCGGTGGAAGAAACTGTTGAGAAAATGCACCTGGGAATGACAAATAAACAGCACGCAGGCAATCACGAAGCAAGTAGCAGCAAATCGAAGAAAAGAACAGCCGCCATCTTTCGTCGCCTCTTAAAATTCATTTAGTGGCAACACTTCCGAGCTCCGGTGCAATATTTTGCATTTTCTTGCTTGGAAGCAAACCCGGAATGTGTCCGATTACCTTGTGTTGGGCAGCTTCCATAATCAACTCCCCGTACATGTTTATAACCTACAGGAGGAGGAAAGAGAAAACAAAAAAGAAGGTCGCAAGCGTTGCTCTGCTCGGTAATATCAAAGTGGAGATGCTGTTGCGCATGAAACCTGGTCATTGAGCCAATTTTGATGGGCCAGCGTGGACAAATCATCCAGTGTCAGGGTGTGTTTTTTGAAGACCACCCGGAAGGAGGGAGCAGGATTCCAAAGCGCTGGAGAGATTCTACGTTGGACCAACTCAGAGATGAAATTTCTCCTGCGCGAGAATGAATGACACGCAACACCCGTGATCATCGGCATCAGTGAACGTCACGGTAAATCTGTACGGCAGGGGGGAAAAAAAAAAAAAAAAAACACGGAGATGCTGCGCCTCCTTAAAACCCATCGAAACAAATTGACCCAACGCCTGAAAAAAAAAACAAAAAACGACAAAACAATGTGAAAGTCAGCAAAAAAATAAAATAAAAATCACGAGAGCAAATGTAAGCACATTTGGGATTTTGTGCGTGCAGAAGAATGATTCTTTGGATAACACGTGTGTCTTTATCAGAATGTACCCCAGTCCCCCAGCCCCGTTTTTTTTTTTTTTAATGTTCTCGGACATTCACCTGTCAGTGAAATCGGCGTTGAACATTTTCTCCAGGTGGCTCAACACATCGCTTTTCTGTAGAGGGATGAAAGTTCCGTACATAGTGAAGAAGTCACCGAGATATTCTAGAGAGATTACAAACACAGAATATGTTATTCACAAAGCCAGTTGGAAAATAAATATTTAAAAAAATAATAGTAATACATAATTCATACCATCGATACGGTCTGTCAGTTCTGAGAGGCCAACTTCAATTTGAGGGGGTGTTTTGTTCTTGCTGGAGATTTTGGCATCAAGTATTTCTTGATGGGCAGCCGTGCATCGTCCTGACTGGTCACCAGCAAGCTTCTGCTCACAAACACCTTTTCTTCGTTTCGTAACATGAGGATCCAGCCCAGTGAGTATTACTTCCGAAGGATTTGCAAATGCATATTCTGCAATGCTTTCTGGCGCCGTGCTTGTGGTTTGTGGGACGGTGCAGGGAGAGTCGGATTTTGCCGAAAAATGTGTTGTTTTGCTAGCATGTCCGAGGTCTGACTCAAAAGTGGATGTCTTCATTTGCGATTGTCCCTGAACTGGTGAAGGGCACCTGTGAAAGTTTTTTTTACTTCTCTGTGCCCCGATGCTGAGGCACGATCTGTAGCGCCTGATTTGCACCAATCTTCTGCACCTCATAAAACTCCCAAAGCACTTCTCTCTCCATTGCCGCCACATCCACAGCTGCAATTGACAATACAGACGTCTCTTGGCCCGCCTGGAGAGATGTGAAACTCCCTTCATTGAAGGCATGGATTCGCTTGTTTACTCGTGGTACTTCACTTTGTGTTGGGGGTTCTTTATCCAGTACACCTGGAGGAGTTGGAGAGGGGAATATGAGAGTAGAGTCTTTTTTTTAATCGTTTGAAATTTAGAATACAATGAACCTCAGTTTATCCTGGGGTATCTGTTCCACACCCACCTCCAATAAAGATCATGTGAGATAACCTGGCAATTTGCTTGGTTGGAAATGTCTGTGTTTTATCGATGCCATTCATACACCCAGCTCAAGCTTGTGTTAATATTTGAACTCAGAGAAAAAAAAAAGGTTAAATCAGAGATGCTTGTGTTCACCTCACTGATTCTGGCACCTTCTCCAGTCGACATGTGCACATTGTGAGCATCTCCTGTAAAACAGAATAAACATATAAATTGCCTGACACACATGCTCATGTCACATTGTTCAGTTGAAAATCTGTCCATCTACCAATGATCGAGTTTAGATTCTTAACATCTTCTGCAAAATATAATTAGGTTGTTTTTTTTTTTTAGCCATAAAAAATTGCCGTCCACGTATGCTCGTATTAAACAACAAAGTTCCTTCTCCGCTAAAAAAAATTTAGAAGACATTCCTTAAGCAGAATGGTTGGACTACACACAAATCTAACAGGGATTGGTGGTTTGATTTTTCAGCAGCAGAGTGAGGACAGCTTGTTTCATGATTACTTGGATATATACACATCCATCAACAGAGGGTGGCATGCATCGGGTGGTTGTCTCCCAATCCGAACGTTGTTGGTTCAATCCTCAGCGCTTGTCATTACGTCAAAGTGTCCTTGAGCAAGGTACTGAAACCCAGTTGCTCCCGATACTGCATCATCAGTAGGTGAAGGGAAGACAGTGCAGAAAAGCGCGATAAAAGTGAAAGCCAATTTACCACAACAATTGACAAGATACCAGAAGGGGGTGACGTTTTGATTCACAAACAAAACGTCTGCGAACGCGGGTTATGCAAAGTGAACAGCATCGTGTGAAAAACACGACGTACCACAGTCGTAATAGTACTCTAGATGTATGCACCGCTATATTTACGTACTCTAGATGTATGCACCGTTACATTTACGTTTACCTAGTAAGTATTTTTGCTAACATTATTTTCAACAAAAAAAAAAGAGCCGCTCTAACTTACCGTTACGCGTGGAGTTCACAGAAATGTTTAATACCACATTGACCAAAAAAGAAAAGCATGGAACGCTGGTATCAGGCGTCGCATGTTGATGATGTCATCATCGGCTTCTTCTTGTGAATTTGGTAAGAAACGTTTAGGTGCATTGTCGCCATCTACTGGTAATGAGTGTGAAACAGGTTTGTCGCGAAACTATTACTCGAACTATGAACTTTCACAAAATGTTTAACAAGCATCTCGGCTGTCTCGTTTTCCCTTATTGCTATTACTTCCCCATCATCTAAGACTGCATCACCTTATTATCTCTTTACTCCGTTCATTTTTCTATTAACCTTGCACATTTGATCCACATCAGTGTCCCTTCCCACTGAGTTACAAAAAGATTTCCAATTGCCTCTCTAAGCATCCTTTACAGTTCTTCTCCCCACTGCACGCACGTCTACGTTTGTATTCAAGTTCCAATAACTAGGATCTCTCTTCAATTCTTTCAACTCTTTACTCCTGTACTGAATCATGCTTTTACAGTTCTTGGTCCATCAAAAAACCGTCTTGCTCCTGTGTCAACATCCCTTCTTCTGGGTAGAGGACCTTTGCTGCTCTGAGAATGCTTCAATGAAGCATTCAGCGTCTTCATTCAAACGAATGGCATTTTTCAACCATTTCATCCTCAAACTGTTGATCAGCCTCGGGTCCTTAGGTCATCGCTCTTTCCCCGTTTATCTCGTGCATGTTTGCGAATGCATGTTTGCGTTCTTGTGGGCTTTGGCGGTGGGTAGGGGAGTGATTTTTGTGAAAGACTTTGAGTTGCATTCTTACATACAAAAAGCGCTTAACAAATAACATTTGTTTGATTGAATAAATGATTTTTCAACACATTTATAGAATGCTCACATTTTCAAATATTCCCTCATTTCCACATTAACATTCCCGGATTAGACGACATTTTACATAACTTCTCCTTCTACATTTCTTGACAGATTCAAGGCCGCAAACTGTTCAATTTATTAAAGACACATATGGAACTATTCATCACATTCCCCAAAGATCCCACATTTTCACAGTAAAACTCCCCAATTAAGAGAAATATTATATACATTGACTTCCTCCTTCCACATTTCTCGAACCAATTCAGATCATTCCAACTTTAAAATGTTCATCTTTTTGGGAGGTATACCAAACATATTCACCAAATTGCACATTATTCGGGCTATTATACATTGTTTATTTTCTTTTTATGTTTCATTTTGTTCCATTGGACCACCCCACCAAAAAAAAAAAATCATTCATTGACGATGGCTCAAGAACAATAAAAAACACACAAAAAAAAACTGATTGATTATGATGTAAGAAATAGGATCGAAACACCACAGCACACTCTCAGTGCCCCACCAGGGTCAGTAACATCTGAATGACCTAGAATAGACCAGCAAATCATTCCTGTTTGCTCTGTTAACAAACTCCCTGTTAAATGTAGAGAACAAAAGTCCAAGTTTTACTTCAGCCAGACAACAAATTAATATTCAGTTGTTCAGACCCCACACATTCAATCCTAGGTAGTTATTTATGTTTTGGAATGAGCATGCCAATTTTAGTTTTAATTATCCTAAAAATCTAACGCAAAATATTTTTGCCCCCAATTTTTTCCACAGTTTCTTAATATTTATCACACAAAAAGAACACACTTGACATGACAAAATGTTTACAACAAACCCCAAAACAAAAACACTGGAATAACGATGATCTGGTCTGAGTTGAAACCTCTGCTGCATGGTACACGGTGAATCCGGTTGGTCTGGAAATCGATGAGCGCTCCTCTCCTCAAATAAGCACCTCATGACAAACATCCTTTTGATTGAGCAATCCACTGATAAGTGAGGGACCCTGCTCGGAGTCTGTCCTCGGCGTGTGCATTGTACTTGCACTCCATTCATATTTTTTTTTTACATTCAGCAAACATTTCAGGTTGCGCTTCATGATCGATGCCACGTTCATTCAACATAAAGGCATCGAATATCAAAGGGGGTGTTCTAAAAAATAGCTCAGCGGTGATGGGACAGTGGTACACAAGTGATTCTTTTCAAATCGACACACTTGCAGTGCTGAACAGTCGACCAATAGTCGAAAAGTACCCCGATACCTTGCCTTGAGAATTACACGATACCCCTTGATTTTTATGGTGGTAATTTCGGAATGGGAGTCTGAGCTGTCTGTACTGGGCAGTGTCACCAAAGTGTCACTCCTCTGAACATGTGGACTCACCTCATTTAGAAAAAAAAACAAAAACAAAAAAGACTATTTTGCAAGATACCACAAGCTAACTTATTTACTCCGTTATTTTTTTCACACCTATAAAATCCACTTTCTGTCTGCTTGAATGAATTGAATGAATGAATGAAAACTGGTGACAAAGTCCCAAGCTTTTTTCGTACTATTGATCTCACCGTTCGCGGCACGCAGGTTCACCACCCCACACGTGACGCGAAAGGAATGACAGAACTTGTTTGACTTGGCTGTTTTCCCGTTTGAAGTGCTATATATACGCTGGAGCCCGCGTGAGGTCTCCCTCTTTTCTTCAGCATCTTCCTCCTCCTTGTGCACAGACATGAACCGACTCAGTATCGCGGTGGTCCTGGGACTGCTGGCGCTCGGGTGCGCTCAGCTTGGTGTTCGCCAGCCCGAGTGTGACTCTCCCGAGGCGGAAGAAGCCGCATACGCGGCTCAGGACTACCTCAATGGTCAGCATGCTCATGGCTACAAATATGCACTAAACAGGATTGAGGACATCAAGATCCTCACCAAGGTAAGCCGGCGACACACAGTAAAAACAGTTGGATCTGGATGCAGAATAACTTTTCCATGATGAGATTAATTAAATTTCGAGAAGAAAAAAATGATGGAGGAGAACAGGTATGGCTCGCAAGGGTCACACAACATTGAAATAAATAAACACAGTCTCAATTTTACCTCTGTGTAATCGATGACAAAGCAAATACAACTTTTACGAGATTTATTTGAAGTATTTGTGACATATATTTACAAAAATGAAATTAAAGAGATTGCATGATCATTTGTAACATTCAAAATTATTTCAGATCAAAGAAAATCATGTGACAAATTTTCAATTCACTTTCTCATTTAAAAAGAATTTTAAATAGAACGTTTGATAGCTTGTAACATTCAATTGTACAATTTTGAATAAAGCAATCACTTTTTTAAATTGCAGTGAAAAAAATATTTCAACAATATTTTCAACAAATGTGACATTTATCCATTCCTACATATTGTTATTTTTATTTTGAGTTTAAAAAGACATTGACACTTTAGTCTGCAATTATCTAAAATAAATACATACATTTGATATGCTTTTTTACATTTAAAAATCTCACCCCCCCCAAAAAATATGCACGCGCACACACACACACACACACACACACACACACACACACACACACACACACACACACACGCACACACACATACATACATACACACATCTGATGCAGGTTTAATTTATTTTTAATATGCATGTGCAGCGGGCCACAAAGTTTTGGACAAACCTGGTATAGACAGAAGTAAGATTTTTTTTTCCTTTATTTTTTTTCCAAGTAATTTAACAGAATGTCTGCTTTGTCCTAGCCCAATGCAGATGACATCTATGTTGTTGAAGTGGACCTTCTGGAGACGGACTGTCACGTGTTGGACCCCACTCCTGTTGCTAACTGCACAGTCCGACCCAAAGCGCTCACCGTAAGTATAAACCAAATGCAGCCTTGAGCAATCGTAACACATATTCTGCATTGCTCTCAAGGTTTTGGACTTGTTTGATTTGTGTCTAAAATCAGTCAGTAGAAGGAGACTGTGACGTGGTTATGAAAAGGGTTGGAGGAGTGCTGACTGTCACAGCCTTCAAGTGTAAGACTGAAGGTAAACTCTGACACCGTGTGTGTGTGTGTGTGTGTGTGTGTGTGTGTGCGCCGTGTCTCGACATGAACCCACACTTTTACGGCACATTGGTATGTAAATTATATTATATTGGTATTTTTTTCTATGATGGGCTTTAGAATCAACAGAGGACCTCTGTTTGGGCTGTCCTACTCTACTTCCGCTGAACGATACCACAGCCCTGAACTTTGTGCACGCCTCTCTGGCTACCTTCAACAACAACACAGTCAACACAACATACTCTCTGCTTGAGGTTGGAAGGATGTCGACACAGGTGAGTCCCCGCGCTTTTTTTTTTTTTCCACATGCTTTGCTGCATGTGGGTCTATTGCTTTGTGTGACAACCTGCTGAGGCTGAAAACATTTGAATCGTTTTTTTCAGATTGTCTCTGGTGGGCCGCGCTATCTGGCAGAATATGTGATCGCTGAGGCTAATTGCACCGATGATGTCTGTGTGCCGCTGAATGATGTCATGGCTGTAAGTACACAAAGTGGGCCTCTCGATAAGTTACCCTCCACAGCGGTGAAAACCAACCAGTGGCCCCGCAGGAAACGATCACATTTCACTTCATAATAATGTAAGAATAATTGACTTATCTTTGCCAGCGAAGGTATTGTGGCAGACAGAACAATTAAATGCTCTTCCAGTAAATGGCTGTAGGTGCAATTAACCTGCATGTCCATTTGTTATCATAGAACAGAAAGATATGTTTGTGTTCAATTAAACAGCCCAGATTTCATATTGGGTAAATTAGGAGATCATGTTAGCATATTGTAAAACCCCGTGAATTCAAATATGGACAATTTCATTTTTCTTTTTATGACCCATTAACCAATATCACATGTTGGAAGTAGCTTGAGGTAATACTTTAACTCTTGAATGCTTTTACTGTCTTGAGTATTGTAAAATTCCACCCCTGCCATTGCCTGTGCAGCATTATGTCATCTGAAGATTGTTTTTTTGTTTTTTTTTAGAAAATAAGTGGAAATGGGTTAGAATCATTTGAGTACGCCCGTTTTGTTAAAACTGGATAGCTATCGGGGATTGGTGCAGAAGTAGTTTGCCACAAAGGTAAATTGAACTGTTGACATTCTCTCAAATGGTTTTTTTATGAAACCTGAAGGCTCTTCTGTCATGTGGCTTTTCTACCTCTCCCAAGAAGTTTACTCAATTTTTAAAGCTTGTGGGCCAACTTTTTTTTTTTTAAACATCACAAGATCGAGACGAGCGGTTTGACATGTCCAAACTGTCTGTCTCAGAGTCGCGGTATTTGCACTGCCAAAGGCCTGGGAGCTGCCCACACAGTTGACTGCAAGATGTTTTCCGTTATGGTGAGTCATACAGTCGTCTTGTCTACGGGATCGGACGCTACTCACTAAGAGTTAGAAATGACGGGCTTTCAGGGTGAACCTGGAATGCATAAGAAATAACTTTTACTCTGCTGATGCATGTTCTTCAGGTGCCTCCCCAAGACGCAAACAGCACTGGGGGTTCTCATATATTCCCAAGGGTCCACGTGCACACACAAAACATGACCAGAAAGCATGGTCTAAGACACCATAAACTGACCTCTCTCCATGATCCACACGCTACCGGCCTTCTGTCGTCCGAGTCGGCATCAGAATCTGCCGAAGTGGTGTCTGTCGCCACCCCTGCAGTCTTGAATGCTACAGCACCCGCTCCAACTGCTGACACATCATCCGCCTCGGTCAGTGGAGAGGTTCCCGTCGCCGTGGTTAAGAGAGACGTACCCGACGCCCCTGCCACAGTTACAGACCCAGTTCTCCTGATAGCACCATGCCCCGGAAGAGTCCGATTCTTTTAAAAAATGTTCCATCATGTACTTTCATAACCTGGATTACTTCTAAAAACACTGGCTCCATGTATAACTCACATCTTTATTTCCATACATTTGTAAAGTTGCCATTTAAGCACATTACTCCTTGGCTTGACGTGTCAGACTGAAGAAAAAAAAAAGACATTTTATTGTAATAAAGAATTCTGAAATACTATTTGAATCATGGCTCAAATTCATATGTCGCATATACACCCACATTCTACTAGTTGAACACATTTGGAGGTATGACAAATTCAAAGGTGACCATTAATACAAAACAGACCAAATGACCGACATTGAAAGCAAGTCTCCTTGAATTCCAATGTAAATCAGTGGTGGGAAATAAAATACTATAAAATATAGCATTTTAGAGTTTTCAGATACCTTTACTTTTCTCGAGAATCTATTTTGAATACTTTTCACACTGTACATTTGAAAACAGAACTGTACTTTTTAGTTCTAGGTAGGCTTGATCCTTTTTTTTCAACCTCCAGGGATGACAAACAAAAAACAGGTAAAGTCAAACATTTATTTGCAATTCATGCGTGTCATCTTAGCTCGTGACCCTCTCTTTCAATGCCACGGTCCAATCCTGTAAGAAACAAGCAAGATCAGTTGCAAGATCATGAGAGGAAATTCAATCTTTAAACTGACATACCGTGTCTGTTGAACTCCATTCTTTTGATCCAGGACCAAGTGCTGGATTGGTTTGAGATTTTCTTGGTTGAAAGTGATTCTGAGAAGACTTGAACAGTCCTTCAAGGAGAGATTTTAAATTCCTGGTGCTAACGTGTTCAAGATGAAGAGGCTTCCCAAGATGTTGGCCTGGGACATCTTGGTTAGGAAGAACCCTGAAATTATTTGGGGACTCTGGAGACCTTCTGGCCTCTTTACCTGGTGGACCACGCTGGAGCAGTATATATGCTTTTGGTTCCGACAAACGCCCAGTCGGATCACGCGTGGAGGACTTTTTGTGCTTCTTCCGATGGGATGAATGTCTCAAATTCTGGGTGAATGAAGTGTTTTTTGTTGATTTAGCATCGTTAAGCATGGAGTAAGGGAACAAGGGGCCATGGTCCTCCTCGACCCCAAGATGGGAAGGCCAATCAGATCCAAAGGAGAACGCTCTAGGTGCTGTCATACCATTTGGGTTCCGCTGCTCCAGATACGGGGCGAGTGGAGACCTGCCATTCAGACGAGGCCAATAATTGAAGCCCCTGAATAAGTCGTTGGGCTTTTTGGAGTGCTTGTTTTGTGCCTCTTGATTTACAGGAATGTAAAATGAATTCTGAACCCCGAGGGGCATATCTTGAGTTGATATGCTCGGTGGTAAATTTGGACTCATCTCATATGGCAAACTGGAATACTGCAAATTAGGATTAGGACCCAAAAAAGGGTAACTTTCTCTTCGAGGAGCTGCTTCCTTGTATGGGATACTTCCTGATAAGAAATCAGAATTGACACCTGGGGCCTGGTGATATGGTTGATTTTTATTGGGAAGAGAGTCTGAGGCTGTCTCTGGATTATATTTTTCTTCATCTGGTTTTTGATCAGGCAAAGTATGACCTATGTGAGTTCTAGGTCCAAAATGGGCCCAGGAAGCAACAAATGGAAATTCTTGTGAGACCACACCTGTCACTTTATCAGATGGTCCATGAGATGCGAGATAAAGATGCTGATGAAAAGTAATTTGTGGGCAGCAACTTGAAAACCCAATGGCACAAAGTTGAACGCAACCACCTGAGCCCCGCGGGACCACAGCACCATCAGTGTGCTGCGGTGGTGGAGGAGTAGCCTGTTGTGGTTCCTTGGCTGGGGGTAATGTTACAGACTGCTGCCATTGTGGATGAGGCATCTTACCCTCTAGAGGTTGGATGGTTGCAGATTTTTCAACTTTAGGCTTCTGAGTGTCAACATGTGTTGCCGGTGGTTTGACAGGTGTGTGAGGTTCCAGAGGCCAATAAGTATTCCCAGGGACCTCAGGTTTCGGTGGGGAGTCTGGTGGGTGTGGTAAAGGTATTGGCTTTTGGGGCAATTCTGGGTTAGTCATAGGGTAAACCAGGTAGGGATTGTGTGGCTGCTGGACCGGACTTTGAGGAAGTGAAAGTGCTGGGGGCTGGTCAAGCTTGGCACGTAGTTTGTTTTCATGCCAGATAGGGTAGACTGGCCGCTCCACATGACCCAGTGGAGCGGCAGGTTTCAACAGCGATGGATCCAGCATTGGCTTTTTGGCTGGTTCTTTTAGACTGGGTTGAGGGTAAGGCGGAAAGAGGTATGGTTTCGATGGCTGCTTCACTTGTTCATGGGCGACTCCAAGGTCTGGTGGTTTGAACGGCCATGGATCTGGCATTTGAGTTTTGGCTGGTTCTTTAGGATTGGGCCTTGGATAACGTGGAAATGGGTATGGATCAGATGGTTGCTTGAAATGCCCATGAGGGACCTTGGGCTGCCGAGGCTTAATTAGCCATGGATTTGGCATTGGCTTTTTGGCTGGATCTTTAGAACCTGGCTTTAGGTAAAAGGGATACTGGTATGGATTGGGTGACTGATTTAATGGACCAGATATTTGTGGTTTGAATGGCCATTGCTCCGGCAGTGGCTTTTTGGCTGGTACTCCAGGACTGGACGTAGGGTAAAGCGGGTACGCATTGGCTGGATGCTCCACTGCATCTGGAGGGACCTCCGGCTTTTGTGGAGTAGGCAACGGCGTTTTAGTGGGTTCTTGAGGGCTAAGCATAGGATAAAGAGGATTGGGGTATGGATCAGTTGGCTGCTCCACCTCACCTGGAGTGACCTCATGAATTTGTGGATTGGGCATTTGTTTATTGGTGGGTTCGTTAGGACTGGGCATATGGTAACGTGGATATGGATAAGGATCGGTTGGCTTCTCCACTGGACCTGCAGAGATCTCAAGGTATGGTGGATTGGGCAGTGGTTTATTGGTGGGCTCTTTAGGAGTGGCCATAGGGTAATATGGGTAGAGGTATGGATTGACTGGCTCATCCACTTGACCTGGAGTGACCTCAGGCCTTTGTGGATTAGGCATCGGCCTTTTAGTGGGTTCTGCAGGACTGGGCATAGGGTAAAGCAGATATGGGTATGGATCAACTGGATCATCCACTTGACTTTGAGTGACCGCGGTCTTTTGTGGTTTAGGCATTTTGGTGGGTTCATTAGGACTGGGCATATGGTAAACTGGGTGGGTGTATGACTCGGGTGGCTGATGCTCTGGACCTGGAGGGACCTCAGGGTTTTCTGGATCAAGAAGAGGCGTTTTGATTGGTTCATTGGGATTGGGCAAAGGTAGATAAGGGTATGGAAAGGCATACTGATAACCTGGCTCCTGCACTTGATCTGGAGGGACCTCAAGTTTTGGATTTTTAATTGGGATTTTAGGATTGCGCATAGGATAACGTGGATAGGTGTACGGATATTTTGGCAGATGTATTTGATCCAGAGGGTTCCCAGTCGGTTGTGGAACTGGCATGGGCTTGTTGTTTCGTTTAAGTACAGGTCCTGGCAAGGGGTTTGAAGGAAAGGGGTTGACAGGCTGGTGTACTTCACCTGGTTCTTGCGGTTGGGAAGGCTGTGGTTCATTTTCAGGGAAAAATGGATAGCGATAAGGATAGAGTGGGTGACTAGCTCGACCTTTTTGTGCCTCTGGGTTTTCTGGCTGGGAAGACGTAGGCTTGGCATCAGCTGTTTGCAAAGGGTAAAATGCATTGTTAGGAGAGGCTGGCTTTGCTCCTTGACCTGGTTGCACCCGTGGGTTTGGCAAGAATGGATAATATGGTTTATGGAAGTGACCTGAAGGGACTTCAGTTTCATGTGGAGCAGCCGGGGGCTTTTGTACAGGGTCAGGTGTAGGATTAAGTGGGTAGGGGAAGAGATAGGATTGAGTATCAGGCGTTTGCTGTTGTGAAAACTGCGGCGAAGGTTTGGGTTCATTTTCAGGTCGTACAGGTACAAGAGGGTTCACTGGCTGCTCTCCGTGACCATAAGGGGATTCAGGTTGTAATGGATTTCCAACAGGCCTGAGGTTGGGTGGTACCACAGGTTTGGAGTGACTTGAAGGTGGATAATAGAATGAGTGTGAGGGAATCAAGCCTATGTTTGGTGGTTCCAATTTTGTGGGTGTTGGGCTTGTTGTCGGTTCAGATAAACCTGGGGCCATTGATGGACATGAAATCTTAGTTGTTCCTTCACCAGCCAATTCAAAAGTGTACATCCCATCCTGTAATAAAAAGATGTCAACCATTGAAACACTTTAAAAATAACTGGAAACAATAACTTTACCTTCTTCTCCACACAGGCACCATAGTTGACAGACAGGACCACACCTTCACCATGATCCACTACGCCGATCCCACATTTATGTAATACAGAATTTATCAGCTCCCATTTTCCGTTCACTGTTGGGATAATATGCGATGATTTAAAAAAAAAAAATCCATAACTTGTAGGTCTGCAAAACTAAATTAAATAGCAACTCACCATTTATTTTAATTCTAGAGAGTGGGACTCTCCACTCCGTTTTCACAATCATGCCTTCTGTATGGCATGTGACCATTGGTGGGCTGGATGAAGGTCTCGTCACAGGGCATGACATCCTCATTGGTAAACCCCACCAAAGTAATGGTAGCACATAAGAATCCCCCTGGAAAAACAATTTTTGCCAAATTATCGTGTGCGTGTTTGTTTTTAGTGTCCTCAGTGCAAGCACCACATTTCTGGAGGTGTCGCTAGGCGTTTTGTTTGTAAATGATATTTGCATGCATGACACAGTGGCATCGTTCAAGTAGGAAATCAAAATAAGATTTTTGTATTGATTACTTATATGTTGTTGGTTGTATTTGTAAGAGTAATAAATACTAGGTTCATTTTCTTCATTTGAAACATAAGTGAATCAACTAAGTTATCACAAAAATGAGTCTCAAATATGAAAAATTCTTGCAAGACTAGCGTAATTCAAATTTCCAGTGACGTAGTGTTTTCATCAAGCCAAACTAATATGATTTTATTTTTTACATTAGTTTAAAAATGTGTATTATTTTTATATATTTCCTCAGAATTTTAAGATTTATTTTTTTAATTATACATCTATATTATCATTCTGCTGCATCATTAATGCGTTTTACTCACATTTCAAAAGCTGCTCCCAACTTTCCTAACAAAACTCATTGTTGCCAAGTGACTGCGGAAAGCTGTGAAATATAGCAACAAAAGTGCCAAGTTGCCATCAACAATCTTACCTCCAGAGTGACAAAACAACCATCATAAGGGGTAACCAAGAACATTTCGTTTTGCGTTTCCCCGATGGTGTAACCACAGCTTTGTGGCAGCTTGGATAGAGGCAACGGAGCCAGGCTACCTAGGGAACAATTACAATTTAACAGGTGATTTAGAATTAGTGAGAAATTGAGTATTTTTTTGCATTTGAGGTGAAATATTCCAAAGCGGAAAACATACCCCTATCCACCCAAATCAGCGATCCAGGAGTGGAAGCAACATCTTGGACTTGAAGTTTCATAGAGTCTGTCGTACATTCCACCTTTGGATCCATTTTAATGAGCTGATGTGTCACCGCTTTGGAAAAATGTTCATCCTGCATACTGGCTTGCTTGTAAAAATCCCACCCTTTGCAGGAAGACGGGGTGGGGTTGTTATATACAAATGCATGTCTCGTATGTTTCCTTTGAAGCAGTTTGATTTTTGTGAAAAGGACTTCAAAAGCAAAATATCCCATTTAATTTAATCTCCAAGTATTGTTCAGTGCATTTTGAAGTGTACCGCTGCCAACTCATGTGAAATAAATAAACTTTAGTAGCAAGGTGGGGTGGCGGGATAGTCATACGTACCCATATCTCCTTGGTAATCTGAATCCGCATCCAAGATGTGACTTGAGGCTTTGTTCGGAGGGGCAACCTGCTGGGAGATCAACAGCCGCCCGCTGTAGGAAACGTCACGTTTGCTTGGAATCGGCGGGGCATTCCGTCTTGATTTAACTGCCAGCCGGGAGCATTGGCAAAATGTGCCGGAAGCAAGCAGAAAAAGTCCAACATACAATAAAATCTTTGAGCCCCCGCGCTCTCGACACGCCATCGGAACTAAAAAAGAAGGCACTGCATAAAGAAAAAGTCGAGTTCTCCTATGCTGACCATTTAAAAGACAGTCGGCTGCACAGGTAGGATTAATGAGGAAACAACAAGCCACGCCGCACCAGGTGTCATCAATGGCTTAATTGTGGGCGTGGCCCCAAACGTGTCCTATTGAAACACAGCGGCAGGCCACGCGCCGAGTACCTGGGCCTTCAGCAGCGGCTTAGCCAATTTGACAACCTCTGATTCTCTAAAAACGCGACATAACAGCACACGTACATGATCTGGTGCGGTTCAGAAATGCTGTTTTATCAAATAACATTCCAAAAACAGACAAATTGCATTCTACTCACCGGCTTATTTAATATCCACATATGCAGATCTCTACAGACGTTGTTCTGCTGGTCAAATTGTTTTGCTCTGACCAAACCGGTCAGAGAGCAGAAAGATATTTTCAAGGGCCGGCTGCTCAATTTCAAACAAAACGGATTGAGGTAATTGATTTTGGCAATAAAGAGTTTTTGCTGTTAGAAAACACTTGAAGTCACGGTCTTCAGAAACCAAAGACCAATATTTCTAACATCATTTTGTCTTTCATCAATGGGTGATAGCGGTTAGCATCCTCGCTCACCTTCGACCGCTGGTGAGCTCGGCACTGGACCCGCTGCAGTTTGCCTATCAGTCTGGCATCGGAGTGGAAGACGCCATTATCTACCTCCTCCACTCAGTGCTGTCTCACCTGGAGAAGGCTGGGAGCACTGTGAGAATCATGTTCTTTGATTTCTCCAGTGCCTTCAACACCATCCAACCCAACCTACTGAGGGACAAACTGCAGAACGCCGGAGTGGACCACCATCTCACAGCATGGATTATAGAGTACCTCACAAACCGGCCGCAGTACGTAAGGGTGCAGAGCTGTGAGTCGGACAGGCTTCTCTGCAGTACGGGAGCGCCGCAGGGGACTGTTCTGGCTCCATTCCTGTTCATCCTCTACACCTCGGACTTCAGACATGCCACTCCAAACTGCCACCTTCAGAAGTTCTCCGATGACTCTGCGATTGTTGGCCTCATTACAGAGGGGGAC